GAACATGGAGTCCAGTAATTGTTCTTTTTTCAGCTCTGTTTCAGGCTTCACCAACTCTTGAGGGAAATATCAGGCTCTTCAGCTGCTGAACGCTCCACTATGTTCATCAGCTAGTCCCTCACTTTGGCTGTCTGCCGTTTTATGCTGGGAAAGAAGTGGTTTCGTGGGTTTTTAGAGCTTTTTTTGCTGGAAAAAAAAGCAGCTCCCTGCTATGTCTGGAAACAGATGAAAGTTGTGAGATTTGACTAAAACAGTAAAGCTGCGAGCCAGAAAACCAAAAACACTGGCCTGAAAGATGCTATGAAGAAGGGATTTCTTGATACAACTGCAACATTTTAATTACCTGCAATGACGCAATATGTGCTTTCTTAAAGATAATTTCTCTTTATTATTACACCATAGTGGATTTTACCCTTCCTAGGGTCAACATAACCTCACGTTCTTTGGCTCGCTGCATGTCTGGAACTTGTGTTTATTTACTGTAAGAAACACTTCCTTGTTGAGTTAGAAACTGGCATCTGCCCCAGCACTTTAATCTGTAAATGGATACCTTGAACAGACCTCAGAAAAGTGGGCGGCAGCGGCGGACAATGTGCGCAAGCAGCCGTACAACAGATTACAGGCGGTGATGTAACACGGCGTAACGACACTGACCCCTCTGTAACTCATAGCTTCCGGAGAGCCCGGCGCACACATGCTGAAAGTAAACAAACGCGCAGCGTGGGGGAAGAGATGGGGAAACAAAAGGCAGGGATCGTCTGACAGTGACATATCTGCTTCCTCTGTGCACCAGGAGGCAGGTCAGAGGATCCACCGCTGCGGGAAGTGATGGCGAGGCTGCTCTGCTGAATTACTTTGGTTTGTTTTTCATGATATCATGAAGACCACACATATTTGTGTTGGTTTTCAGCGTGACGTGATCGAAATTACCCGGTGTTGAGCAGTCAGTGTTGACCTGTGTAGTCCACAACTGAAGGTTAGCCTGGGTTTTAGTGATCATGTAAAGGCTTTTCCACTTTTCTGGACAGACAGAACATTTTAGTATTTCAAAAACAAAAACTGCATAGGGAGAGCTACATCTGGTTTTTTGGTTCCAACTGGACTGGGTAATTAAAATCCAAGGCTCCATTCACACAAAAGTTACAAAAGGTTTGAAAAGCTTTCAGTCCACCTCACTGACAGTTATTTGGAGCTTCATAATTTCCCCAGACGAAGGCCAATGCCAAATGCATTGAGGCATTCAGAGTGGTTTTGACATATACACTATTTTTTCAACAAGCGAATGGTAAAAACTCAAAACTCTTTTCCATGCCTTAGATTTTTTTGTTTTTTTAACATAATATCGGCATTCAACTCAAAAGTTCATAAAGGCTGAGCATGAAGTGCTTTAAAAGAAAATTACATACACTGTCAGCCTCAAAAAACAGCCAAATGTTAACTGATATAGGGCTGAGCAACTTATATAAATGTGGATTAATTCAAATGTAGCCGTCGCAAAATAATTTCGATCTGTCGGTTGGTTCACCACTTTAGTCCAGACGGAAATATCTCAACAACTCTTGGCTGCATTGTTATGAAACTTCATAGAGACATTGATGGTCCCAAGAGTCCGAATCCCACCGACTTTGGTAAATCCCTGATTCTTCGTCAAGCCCCAACAGGAGGTCAACATTGTTTGCTTTCAATGAAATACCTTGACAACTGCCATGGAAGTTGGAGGTTCATTATGTTTCAGTCTTGCCTCATTATGGGATAAACATTTAAAATCGTGAATCATCCCTAAGCTTGTAGCCGTTTACTGGCCACTTACTTTTAGCAAGATGAAGTCGGACAGCTAAGCTCTACATTCTGTTATTCGTCAATCCAAATTTGTGCCGTTTCAAACCAAGTGACACCAAAAGGGAAATGGATCAGATGTTGAGTGAGTCTACTTTCTTCTGAACAAGGTTTCAGTTCCTCATTTCCTGCGGTTGAAGAAGTTACCATGCTCTACACCGGATTTTCATTTCGGGTAAACTGGAATGAATTTATAAGCCTCAGTTTGCGGTAAAGAGATGGCACTAAAAATAACATTTTGGTTGTTAGGCAGAAGGCTGTAGCTACAATTAGCTTTTTTATGGTTATGGTGAGATGATTAAGTCTGTTATATTCTATTCTCTTCTATTGTCTGTTGTCTGGCATGTGTGGCAGGAAGCAGCCTGCTGATGAGGGAGTCGTGAAAGTTGACTCTGAAGTGTCAAGTCCATTAAAATAAACTGGCATTTCTCTTCTGTTTTGATGATTTCAAGTACCACCAGTTTAACACTGATCCTCCCGGAAGCTGTGTTTGACTCAGCGCCTGCAAACAGTCAACCACAAACATTCCCCTGGCGGCGACGGGTGGCGTGTGTGTGTGGGTGCGTGTGTGTGTGTGTGTGTATATGTATGTGGGGGGGGGGGGACAACCGACACCATCGATACACACAGGAGGAAGTGAACCCGACAGAGGAAGCACATTTCTGCTGCGTAGCCCTGTTGTTTTTTCTCTCTGTCCAAGAAGACAGATCAATATGTATCACAGAGGAGAGGAGACCGGCTCCCAAAAAGCTGAGTCAAGGCACACACACACACACACACTCTCACACACACACACACACACACACTAACGTTTCCACTTCTAAACTTGTGAGGACCCTATCCCTCAACATTCACACCTATATGCCCGACTCTGTTGCCCTGATTTAAACCTAAAACTAAATCTGATTTTATCCTCAAATCTTGGACCCTGACACAGATATTTTAAAGTCAAAATGTTCCTCACTTTCCAAAAATGTCCTCCCAAAGTACACGCACATGAACACACACGGGTTCAGTGCATGGTTTACGGGGATGCTTTACTCTTGCTAGCACTTTATCAAAGACTCTAAACTTGACCAGAATTGTACAAGGTCTTCCATTACTGATTCAATAAGATAAAGCTGACTCTCCCCTGCTCTGCTATGCTGGGATTGTTTAACAGCTTGTAAAAAAAGAGAAACTGCACAGTGCAGAGGGAAGACATGACTGGAATGCAACCTCACAGGAAGTGGACTGACAGCCGTCATGCTGCACACACTCTCAAGTGTGTGTGTCCAGTATGTGGATAAATTTGTGTAACACAGGGTCAGGATGCAAGAGAACGACACTGACTAAAAGCCTCCAGTTAGAGCTGGAACTTGATCAACAGAGGATTAATCAGCAGCTTCCATGATAAATGTTTAATTGTTCACTTTCTAAGCAGAAATCCTGAAACATAATGCTGCACATGCTGCTTCCTTTGTCTTGTGTGAAAATAAACTGAATATGTTTGGACTCTTGTTCAATGCCAACAAGCAGTAGGATCATGTAACACTGGAAATATATATATATTTTTTTTTAATATTTTCTGACATTTTATTGACCGAATGAGAAAATAACGAGCAGATCAACTGGTAATGAAAATCACAGTCTGATTTAAAGTAAGACTAAGAGACAGATTTAACAAAGTTCTGCACTGCTACATAAAGTATGTACAAATAATCCCACTCTCAATGGCTTTCACACATTATATTTACCACTGCTGTTTATTTAATTCATTATGAGGATATGGATTCCTAAGGATTTACACTTACTTTTTTAAAGCTATTAAACAGAAGGTCTTCCCTTTACAAAACAGACTTTCTTGGGTCATTGTGTCTTTTATACTTTGTGTTTTATGTGCAGCATTACGAGCTGTCCTGTTGTGCTATATAAAAAACATACCTTGCCTTACCTTGAACAAATTCTACAATGGAGTTTGAGCAAAAACATTGTAGGCCTAAAACACAGACAATAACAATATAAAAAGGAATAATTTTGTGACACTTTCAAAGGATTTAAAATTAGATAAAACTGGGATGTCAGTGTAAGAGAGGAGTTCCTCTCTCACCACCACCCCTCATATACAGACAAAGTGCTGGCCAGCCAGACACATCCATTCATAAAAGACCCACCCTTTCCCCATCCGTTCATGCACACTCTCTCTCACACACACACACACACACACACACACAGCCATCCGGGACGACAGGACGAGCCATCCGGGGCGGTCACAGGTGGTCACCAGTGCTTTATTACTGCCTTTATCCCCTGACTGAATTTTGTGAGAGTTTAAAGGCAGAACGTTCCAGGTAATCTGGTCCAAAAGAACCTCAGTGAACTTTAAGAATACAACCATGACCTAATAAAAAACATCACAAAACCCAGGAAACAATCTCCTGCAGGCTAATATCATACAATACAGTAGGAGTGCATACAACGAAACCACTAAATCAAGTCTCTACAGCAGTATTATGGGAATCATTGGCTGGGAAGTAATGAGAAGGACATTGGATACATGAATGCCCAGGGCAACACTAAACCCAATCCAATTAGTATAATCAATGGTGTGTTAAATGCCCTCTTGAGAATGGGAAATTCACCAACTTGCCACTTCACTCTCAAGTTCACGACTGAGTTGTGTCAAGTCAACGAAGCACTGCACATTTCATATGGCTTGTTACTTGACAGCACGTTTTACAGAAACAAAAATAACCACGGAAGGTGGCTAGATTGATTGAAATTTGAAGCTGTATACAGGAAGACATTTGTCCCAAATGTCAAAATGATTAATTTCATCCAGATAATATGTTTTACGCTCTCAAAACCTGTGTAAAATTGTGCCCCCGTAAGGAAATTGAACGCCCCATTTCTTCAACTTTTTCCCTCTGTGTGAAATTGACCTATTTGATGCCAAAACAAGCCGGAAAACTAAATTTTACAGGCGCGCTGTGAAGTAGGCGAAAGTCTCACACAGCCGTGACGGTGACGGTATGCGAGGGCAGAAATGATCCATATCCATGAATGGATACACGGACCAGTTAATGAGCTACACCCCGGGAAGGGGGGGGGGGGGGCTGTGTTAAAGAAATGCCCCCCCCCCCAAGCATGTGAGAAAAGATAGTTAAGAGATGTAGGCTACTCACCCCGGGCGCAGCAAAATGAGTCAGCTACAGACAGGGAAGAGAGATGCGGGAGTCTGCGGGACGATAATCTCCTCTGGATCTCGCAGTGGGGGGAAACAAAAAAGCAGCTCTTGTGTTGGAATTTTATTTCGGCCTAAGAGAGGACAGACGCGCTGCAGGAAGAAAAAAAAAAAAAAAAAAGTCCACTCCGCGTCAGTCTCGGTGAGGGTCGGTTCACTTTTGCGGTTTCAAGTCGTTCACTGGTGGATCTGAGTCCGTTTCATGAGACGCGCAGGGACCGTGAAGGGAACACAGGTGAGATGATGAAGTGTCAGTGAGTGCTGGGGGATAATGAAACAGAAATGTCGTGATTCCTCGCTCTCTCTCTCTCTCTCTCTCTCTTTCTGTGTGTCTGTGTGTGTGTCTGCCTCGCTGTCCTCTGCTGCCGCCGCCGCTGCTGCTGCTGCTGCTGCTGCTGCTCCTGCTCTGTAACCGGCTGCTGAAACGTGGAAACGCCTTTTCCTCCCTCCCTCTCTCTCTCTCTCTCTCTCTCTCTCTCTCTCTCCCTCTCTCTCTCGGTCACGGTTAAGCACGCTGTCTGATTCGTCCAGAGATCTTCTATTGAAAACAACGGCTCACTCTCTCAATAAAACATTCCACAAATGAATGAAAAGAAGAATGAATGTCAAGGGGGAAAAAAAGCGCATTATTTTCATTTACTGGATAAAATGTGATCCTGCCGTCAGCCGGGTCGACTTAGTTAGGACCTTTAATTCACACAGGAAAATGAACACAATAGAATATAGCATCTAAAAAGACACTATCCACAGACAGTCAAACATCACCAACTGCTAACTGTTTTTTTATTGAAATTTTTTCAGCTTTTCATCAACATTACACTAAAAAATCAAGCAATTTATAACATGCACAACTTTCTTAAGTATCCTCATTTAGTAACGTTCCAGTGTGACCACAATGCATATTCAAAACCACTCTTGTAGGCAGCGGTGCACAGTGCCATAAGCTCTATATATTCTGCATGGAGCTGGTGCGAAAGTTTTAAATTAATGAATGTTTTTATCTCATTTGGCAACAACAAAATGTTTTTACCCATGATGCTTTTAGCAGCTATAAAAAGACTGACCTAAACCTGCGTTTTATCTTTCCTAATTTCTTTGCTTTGTCTTTGCTTTTATACACTATAGTCAGGGCTGAGTATGTTAGAGCCTATCCCAGCATGCATTGGAAAAACAGGTTGCCAGTGCATCTCAGTAGGTGAAACACATTTGCATTCATGCACAGTCCACATGAGATGCATGTGTTTGGAGAAATGTCAGAAATGTTGACCTAACACATTGTTTCTAGGGTTGCTGACATTTTTTTTTCTTTGGTTTGTTCTATGTTGCCTGAAATTTGGTTGTCAGAAAAAAAAAAGAGCAGAGTGAGACCTCTGTCTGTTCTCCACCTCTGATTCCGCTGGTTCTCAGACACTGGAGCACACACTCTCACACACTTGCACATACACATTTTTCAAAGCTGATGTCACCATGCTATCCGGTCTGCAAATCCCTCCTCCTGTTTCTTTTTCTCCATCACAACACGATCCAAAACACCCCCACCCCCTACACCCCCTCCACCCTCCAACCCCAACTCCATTCTTTTAAAAGTGACAGTGAGCCAACAGGAGCTGGGCCGCTGGGTGTTGATCCCTCAAATGAAGTTAAATCATCCATCACTTTCTCTGCTCTGGCCTCCTGGAAGAAAAGTTGCCCTGTAGTACATTTAAAATGGATGCAAGTGGGAGAAAATACTCATTCACAACCACAGTTCAAGACCTTTCGTACGACTGTTCGTGATGTTTAAGCGGTACAGTAGAAAACATGCAGCCTGCAGTCAAAGAATTGCCTTAAAGATGATCAAAATGTGAGAATAAGAACAGTTTGCATGTTATATGTCCAAAACACCCAAAAACACCCAAAATATTGATTCCAACTTCATGAGATTTTGTCTAGGAAACCTCATTTGAGAAATATTTTTACTGTCAGTTATGATTATATTGCAAAGTGGGAGGGAAGGATGTATTCTGCAGGCAAGTCAGACATGCGACACACCCATCTACCTCCTGACCACTGCACCAGTAAACCAGAATAATTAAATGTGATGAATGAATGTGGATATTTTTTGAGTAGGGATTTCCTACTACAACTCCCAGAATGCCTCCTCGCAATGTCCAGAGAAGATTCCTTAAGGTGTTCAGACAGTTATAGCAGTAGCAGCAGAAAAAGAAACGTGACGGCTGCGAGATTGATGAAAACTCAACAAGTCTTGCCGCTGCATTGCATTCTGGTTAACTGAGGCTATACTGTCAGTCCAGTATGTGATGGAGTTCTACCTATAGTGCAACATTTATGAGCGTGGAGATCTGTTTCAAGCTATGTCAGACATAAAGACTGAGACATATGACCTACAAGGAAACAACTGAGGACTGTGATACTGTTTTGTTGTTATGCTGGAAATGACATCACACCAAATCACGAAAATCACCAAAAACAGTAGGCCGTTTAAGACGTTTCGGGTAGATTCTCTTCGCTTTGAAAGACCTATTTCCTCTTTCATTTTTGATGCAGAATTCTTCAGAAACGCTCACGTGTGGGAGGGAGGTGCACAGCTGCTGTAGCTCTTGTGAAGTGTAACTTAAACCTTTCATGGACATTCTCAGGTGTTGAGGGTTGAAGGCGCCACAACCACACAGGAAGCCGGTGAAAGAAACAGTTCTGCTTGCACCAAAGGCTAATGACTTCTAATGGTTTCACATACCTCAGGTGTGTGTGTGTGTAGATGTGTGTGTTTTCCCCTTGACTGAACAACTTTGTCACTAAGGCTAGAAGATCTAAACGGATAAATGAATGCAATCTTTTAGTAGAGGATGACTCAGTAGAAGTTTAACCCTGATAACTTCCCTTTTTCATTTTGCAGTACTGCATGTTTTTAAAATGACTCACTCTCAGCCCTGTTTTGTGGTCTGTAAATGTCCCAAATTTTTGCCTGCGCATCTCATGACCTTCCGTCTTTATAACCACGCTTCTTCCCTCATCAGAAAAACAGTTGTGACTTTCCTATAACTCATGATGAGGCGGATCTTCACATCTCTGGACATGAATTGGACTTTTGTTGTAAGGTCTTTGACCCTGAGGCGAGGATGAGGTCCTCTTTTCAACACAAATACACAGGCAGGAACACATGTGTGCACAAGGGCACACACCCCCTACTGTAGGCCTGTACACACTCTCTTAAGAAAGTCTCCAACTGTTAGCCTTTTTCTTAACCTGTTCAGGACAGAATTATGTTCCAAAAAAATTATTAACTGCGGATTTGTAATCTAAATACACTTATAAATCATTAGCAATCAAAAAATTGATTGAAATACTTTATTATTTTTTCTGTCCAATCCAATGGATTGAGATTTTGAACATGAGAAACCATCTAATAGCAGAAATGACAATAAATAGTCTTAGATCTTTTTATTTTACTCGAATGAATATCAGTGAATAAAGTGATGCTTTTAAACACATTGCATTTATATTTTGTATAGTTTTAACAAAATTATTGATGAATAAACACGAGGCAGTAGGTAAAGATGTATGTTCAAAGCCCCCTGAGTTGCATATTCTGTGTACATAATCAATAGGATGCATTTTAAGATGATTGAATCATTAGAAAATCTAATAAGAACAGTTAGAGTAAAGCAGACCAATATATCTATCTATACATTCAGATCCCGACCATTCCAATGGACGGAGTAAAAGCAGTAAATCTTTTATATGATATTTTGACATGTATAAGTGATATAACATGTCATGTTTACTCTAACCACAGTTTAAACACACATTTTGTACTTTAACGACATAATTAATAGAATAAAATCATTTGTAATTTTTCAGGACAATGACCAACTAAGTGTGTAGGGTTTTTACGGTATGTCTGAGCAGGTCCATGTAAAATATAAACTTAAATAAGTGCACTTTAAAACCAATGTTAGAGTTTTTTGAGGTTTTTGTAACACTTAAAAAAAAAGAATAAAAAGTCAGATATTTAATAGAAGCTAGAATTTTAGCAACGGTAGCCATTATTGCGATTGCTGCTGAACACAGTGAATACAAAGTTCACTGCAGCCGTTAAAACGAGGTCTCCATGAATTCTGAATTCCCTCTACCTGTGACCAGCTAAATGAAATGGAGTCCTCTCACCAGATGGTTTCACTAAAACAATTGGCATATTGTTGTATATGTATGCAAATAAGCGCAGTCATTTGCATTGGAGCAACAGAAAATGCTCTGTGGATTTACAGTGACACAGATACACAACCGTCCACATTTGCCTATAAACATCAAAACTGGACGCAAAACATTCTTTTTCCTTCTTCATGGCTTTAGTGTGATCGACGTCTTCCACCTCAGAGTGTTCTGGGTCAGCTATCGATTGATAAAAAATAAATACTTTTGTGCCAAAAGTTGGAATAAACTAAAACAAAACACATCAGTAGCTGCCAAAAGACACACAAGGAGGTAAACAACGACCTGTTTTACTCATACTTCACATGACGGATATTCAAATAGCTCTCAGTGGGAGATGCATGAGTCAGTTGAAGATCTTTGTTTGCCTGGGAGGCCAAAAGTTGATTAGCGTGCTGGGATTTGTGGAAATGCTCTCAGCACCAACTTGGTCTTGGTCACTGAGAGCAATACATGAACACAGTTAGTGTGTTAAATTATGTATGTCTCTGAAAGTTATGAAAATATTTTCGGTCGTTCTGATTCTGCAACAGATTGCAGAGTTAGTGAGTTATTGTAATGTATGTACAGGTACTGTATATATCACTGCTAACATCAGTGCATTTGTTCAGGCTTGCTATACTAAAAGCTTTCACAGAGTGGGAAAAGGGCCCCTTAAAGTGCCACTGCGGAAGAGAAAACACTGCCACAGCATGGAGCATTAATCCATTACCCAGTCTATGAGAATTTCAGGACCGGCTCCGTTCCCAAAGGACCCGATAAAAATCTCTTACTGCCCATTTGTGCGCTGAAACCCCTTAAACCTGCAGTGATGGTGGGCTAGTCAGCAAAAGCTCATGCTGTGCTGTTCGTCTTTCTTCACACCCATGGAGAATTCTTTTAAACTCAAACTTCAAAATCCACAAATTTCCAAAGATAACAAATTTTCCCATGCTGGATTTTAGGGAAACGTTTATACAATGAATATTGTCATTTGATGGACATTAAAGACAGACATAATGTCTTGAGTTTTGATATTCCACTTAGTATATGCTTCCCATATAACTTATAAGACAAGTCGCAATATACAATAGCTGAACACATGAATGAATATAAACACATATAAAGCTTTATCCTTGTTCTTTAACAA